ATTATTATTATTATTATTGTCGCCGACCAATCATGCTTTCGATCGACACTCTCGATGTTTCTACATTTTTCTTCTTCTTTTTTTTTTTTTGTCTTCTTTATTTTTCTTTTCCCTCCGTCGATAATAATAATTTTAGAGAGAATCTTTTCTAGAACGAGAATCATTTTTTCTAGAACGTGGCGAGGCGCACGTTTTTTTTTCTCTTTCGTATCTCGATTTTTAAGATAAAAAGGATTAAAAAAAAGTAAATAATAATAAATAAGATAGTGTAAGTAAGATATAAGATATGTATAAGAGTAAGGGGCATACCTAAGGCGGAAAGTCGCATCGATAGATTTTGCTTTGATATAATAATTAAGAAAGAAACGTTCCTTGTTGTTTACCGTTTCTTTTTTTTCTTTTTCTTCCTTTCTTTCTTTTTTTTTTTTTTTTTTTTTTCTTCCTTTTTTTCTTTTTTTTTTTTTTTTTTTTTTTTTTTTTTCTCCCTCTCGATGTATTATATATACACACACACACACAGATACATACACACGTTTTAATATTATTTTACATCTCGTACAACGCAAGCGATGTAATCGATGACCGCGGTACGACGAATCGAGTCGATAGAGTCGGAGGAGAGATCCGGTTCGAGATCTTTTTTCGCGTCGATACTCCGCGAGGAATCGTACGTAGCGCGTTTATATCGTACCTATTTAGTGTTCATCGACGTATCTCCTGTACCTGCCTTCGACATATCTCAGACATAGTTTCAGGAACAAGAAAGATGCAGAGTAATAAGAAACGAACAAAAAAAAAAATAAATAAATAAATAAATAAATAAAGAGAAAAGAAAAGAACAAAACGGTATTAAACTTTATCGAAGCTGTAACGCTGTATGTCTGCAAGCCAAAGGATTGTGAATGCGATTGTGAATACGGTGCACCCGCGCACCGCGTTTGATAACGAAACAATAAAATTATGCGCAAAATCGATCCGACATTTCTTCGTTCGAACGTCCCATCGTAGCTTTCCTCCTCCTTCCCTCCTTCCCACCCTTTCGAGAGAGCGTACGCGACAAATAACGCGAGCAACAGATTTCTCAAAGAAGACGAACCTCCGTCGCGGGTGGTCCACTCGCTTTTAATCCCGCGAACCGATGATCGTCCACGCTTACAATTCGCTCCAGATTCCTCTCACCGACGCGAGTCGGAAGGGAAATTATGGAAAATTTATCGAGAAACGCTTCGAGCAATTTAATTAATTTAATTTAAATTAAATTGCGAGCAATCGGTGATGCATCAATTTATATTTGTAAATATTACATTCGTTTTCTTTTTTCATTCCAGTTCTTTCGATCGTTATTCGTTAAATTGAGAAAGATAATGCTCGATTGCGTGCCAATCATCGAGGAATCTCATTGTTTATCGAGGGAATTTTTTCGCGACAACGTTCGGTGCCAAGGTAACACGGTGAAAGAAAAGAGGTGGAGGGAGGGGAGGAGTAAGAGGAGGTAGTACGGCTGTGGTGGTGGGGGGGAGAGTGCGAGATGTCAAGGGTCACGATCGCTATTATCGAAGCCTTTGGAAAAAGATATTCCGGAATTTTCGTTCCTTTTTCTCTCTCTTTCTTTCTCTACTTTTCTCAACTTTTCCTATTTGTAACAGAAGTTGAGAAGAGAAGAAGAGAATTGGCCGCGGTTGACACATAGCGCGCCCGAGTTTGCGAGCGAACGAGTTTCGAACGAGTAACAAAGTGACCTATAAGCGCAATCTGTCGAGATAACCTCCTGAACCTGAAAAGTTTTTTAGACCGAAAGCTACGCGTTCGAATCGTCGCCGATCTGCGATGACCAATTTTCACGCGATAGATTCGCGTTCGATCCGTGACCGCTGTTTCCTGTTCCAGATTAACAGAGTAAAATCGACGCGACGCATCGATGGAAATCCCCCACGCGATTAATTTCGCTACGAGAATGAAATTCTGTCTTCAGAAGCGATCAACCACGTCCGGTGGTCGTTTGGCATCAACTCGAGGCCGTCTCGTTCGATGCGAGATAATAATGCGTAATGCGTAAAAAAAAAAAAAAAAAAAAAATGCATACCACAAGTACACGTACATACATTTGTCCCCGCGTGATAGCAACGTTGGATGATCTCGCCTCTTAAATTTTCTCGGCACGCCGCGTGGAAACGACCGCATTCCACGGGAGTGTCTTACACGCGGTCCAACTCGACTCGTCATTTATTCGTCCACCCGTCCCTGTTATCCGGCAGCCCGATTACACGGGCATCGNCCTCCAGTACGCGACGAAAAACCAGTCCTCGTTGTACCGGTTGTAAGACGCGATCCTATCGACCTCTCGTTCTCGCGTCCCTGCCGGATTTCGTGTGGTATATGTACGTATATATACACCGCTGGACCCCGCTCGATCCTCCCCGACCAGTATCTTTGAATGGCGACGCGAAAGTGAATGGGAGCCGAAAAGGGCGACCGGTCACCGCTTTCCATCTCTCCGATCGAATCGTGAAATCGCGATTCGATCGACTTCGCGTG